GTGAGGAAACAAAGACTATTCAGGCATTTGGTGGTTGGGGTGTGTTCCCAAATCAATCTTGCAAGAGGCTGAAGAACCTGGAACAGGCACCTGTGATAGTCTTGTCTTTTCTGTATGGTCATGGCCCCTTCCTTTCTTTACTTGCTTCAGTAAACAGGGGGCTTAGCCAGTGGAAGTTTACAGAAGCAGGCAGTAGATTTTGGCAGACTACTGGTGTTAGTGACGTGAAGACAATAAATCACAACAGGTTGTGTTACTGAGTCACTGATTCCAGTGGAAACTATAGCTGCAGTTGCATAGATAGGCTTTAATTCTCCCCTCACTTCTTCCACTAAATTGCCTCTAGCTTGAAACAGAATCCCTGGAAAAGCTTCTGCTACATTATTTTGCTTGTATCAAACAAATGTTATGTTGAGTGTATTAAGATATTGTTAAATTAATGTGAGATGAGTGGAAAATTACCTGTGTGCAATTAATAAACTCCTGCTGAGCCTTAAACTTTGGGGACAGATTTCCCCCTTACATGCATTTTTTTTGGTTTATCATTCTAGTAACTATTCCTTAGGGGTTTTGAAAGTTCCACTTGACTTGACACAGGTTCAGCTTTGATAGAAAATATTAGGGTCTTTTGTCTAGATAAATAAAGGTGTGCAGGAGTATGCTCTCTGATCTCATAAGGTTCTGCTTTCATCCTGAGAAAACACTGGACAGCCGTTATTGTATAAGGATATTTGGTAGCTGCCAAACTGAGTATCTCCTAGGAAGTTGAATTAAAATCTAAAGTGTAATTAAGATAATGTTTCTTATGTGTATGTTTTCAAAAATGTGAGAACTGGAAGTGGAATTTTGTAATGACTGCATGTGGTCTTGAGAACACCAAAATGAAAAATTTTGTCATTGCCTGAAAACATCACACCTCTGTGGCTATAAGGACTATGAAAATTTGATAGATGATTTACAAATGTGACAAGTAATTTAAAAAGCAGCATGCTTCTTACTCACTTGTTGAAGAGATTTGTTCTCTTGATGATTAAAGTATGTTGTATATAGGTTTATGAACAACAAAAGATACATTTTTGGGTTTTGGAATACCTGATATTTCTCCATTCATGGCTTTATTTCTCCTCTGTAAGAGGATGAAATTACATCCAACTACAATACCAAAAACCACCAGCTGACTCTGATCCCCATGTAGGCTGCTCCAATAGTTGGTCCAAGTTTTTTAATTTTATTCTGAGCAGATATATTCCTCTCCTACGTGTTCTGCCACACGTCTGATACTGTACAGCTCAGATAAAAATATGTAGGATGCTGCTTCTTTTCCTCTACTATATTTGCCTCAATCATGGCTTTAGGGGAGGATTGGGTGGTCCCTTGTGCTGGCAGGCCCTCGATGGGTAGTGGTGTAGCTGTTGTTGTGAGGGGAGGGTTTGGTTCGTTCTGTGTGGCTGTGGACACTTTGTATTCTGAGTCATGTCCCAGAGGTGCCTACCTTTCACTCAAGGCTAAATTATGAACTCACTTCCTACTTGGGAGTTCTGAATTATAACTCTGTTAAATACTTAAAATGTTATAAAGCAAAGTAAATATCCCCCTGGATCAGATTCAAAGAAAAAAAGGCAATAAATGTTTAAAAGGAGAGAAGGAAAGAGGTAAAATAAGAAACAGAATATGCTGTTTTGTGTGTGCAGTGTTCATGCTCACCACTGTATATATCTGAGATGACTCAGGTTTGGTTCTGAGAGTTGTTCCCTCTGGGGAATAATAACTTCTGACATTTGGCACTTCTGCCAGGTAACTGATGTCCTGCATTACCATGGCAGCCTTGCAAGGGCAGTTTTATTCAGACTGTAAACTTTTCTTAAGGGATGTATGAAGGCTGTTTTTGTTTTTTCACCCCAGCATGAGAGGTGTATGTTTCCTTGCCTTGGTATAGTGCAGAGAAAATTTCAGGCCCTGTTTTCCCCAACGGCCAGCAGGGTAGTTGTGGATGCAACCAAAATATGTTCCTAAATATGTTTTGTTTTTTGATGGACTATTCAGGTTTTGGTAGCAAATTTTCATATACTGTGCTTGATCCTCGTTCCCTCTGAGGAACAGCCCTCTGAACTGTGGTGCTTGCTGTGGTTAGTGGCCATGGCCAGCATCTTTTGATCTTGTGAACAGATTTGCCATGTCCAGCTTCTTGATTCAGCCTCAGAAAAGTGACAGGACATGTAGGTTTACTCAGCAGCAGTGCAGTTCCTTTTCATGTCCTCACAACAACGGGAAAAAATAGAGCTGGGGCACTTTTTCCCTCTGTAACCTCAGAAAGTAACCCACTAAAGGAGTTGGAGGGAGGAGATAAAAATGTCTGTGGCAGCAGTCTCTTAATCACTCAATCAGTGCGTAATTAGTGCTCAGATAAAAATTGGTTAATTCCCAAATATGTAAAACATGATTTAACTTTAATGCTTTGCATTAGCCTAAGCATGTTAGATTTGCTTTTGATTTGTTCTGAAGAGTAAGTAGTTAATGTTCAAGGCAGGTGTTGAAACAGTGATGGTTGCCTTTTTTGGAAGGGTCTGTTGAATTCTTTCCAGAACAAATAACGTGCTTGGCTCACTTAACCTTGCCTTAGGTCTGTGTAGTAAAAATCCCAACATTGGCAAGCACAGCAGAACTCTGCAGTCCTTTCTAAAACCTGGGTAGTGGAACCAGCAGTTTCAAATAGACTTGAGTATGTGATTAAAAAACAATATGATAAGCTTCATGTTTATTTCAAGATGTTTACTGTATGATCAGTTAGTGAGGATGCTTGTGCCAGACTTTTTAGTTGCTTTCTGTCTGTTGATTCCTTTCTTGTAGCACTTGGTAACTTTGATAGGATCTGTCCCTCAGGAATACATTTGTCATGCTGCAGCATGATGAAAAGGGTTTTCAAGTTTGAATTAGTAATAAATGAAAAACCAAGTGTATTCTGATGAAGGCAGCTGTTGTGTTAGTATACATTTAACTCTCTCAAATGAAGAATACGGCAAAAATGTATTACTGCAAGGTAATCCATTTCTTTGGTTGTTATTTAGAAGGAATAATGTTTTCTATCATGCTGTCCTCAAATGTTTAAAAAGACACATTGATGCTGCTTGACCCTAATGCTGACCATTGAAAAAAATGGAAACAATGTGTAAATGAAAACCAACTACTGTACTTACTGGATAAACTGTTCGTCTCTGAGGGTAGAATGCCAACATCTACTCAATATTCCTGCAGAATAATCACTGATTAAGTCCTTCAATCCTGTGAATTTCATGCATGGGAGATTTTTCTAGTGAGGCCAAAGCTCTGTGAAAATGTCCCACGTGTCTCTGATATTAAAGTGCACAATCCAGCATGACCTGGCATGTGCTGTGTCAATGTCATCCTCTGAGACTGCACTTGGAATTTACACAGAACTTGATGTGTTGGGAGCATCGTCAAGATGCTCCGTGAAATCAGTCCATGGCATAGCTGCTTCTAGGTGGTGAAAATACCAAGTGAATGCTCTCAGTTGGGTAAAAAATACATTCTAGAGACAAATGGTTGCTCTCCTTTCCTAAAGCTGGATTAACTCTAATGGCAGACTTTGCTTCCTTATTTGAGAACTATGAGAGTATTGAGAATATGTGGTGTGGTCTGTGTTAGATTGAATAATAAAGACTTTTTTTTCATTCAAAGGAAGCATTTTATGGTAGTCATTTGAAAACAAATAAGAAAGATTATTCAGAATTGAAACAGACATTAGTTTAAACTTTGAAAACTATTCTGGCACAAGGATTTCTAAGGTGGTTTTTGTGACAGGTCTGGTTAAATTGAACTCTGAATTACCTGTGCCTTCTCTTACAGAAAAATATGTGATATGTGCATAATAAATGCTGGCGTTATAGCTGGAGGCACAGGGAAGAATTAGCAATTTCTTTTCATGTGCTGAAGGACGTAATTTACGTGTCTACTGTGACAAATATTTGCAAGTGCCAAACAATTTGGTATGTGTCACTCTGAAATAGTGCTGGCAACAATAGCTTCAGGGAAGGTTTGTTGCCATTAGTTAATTTTGATAATTGGAACCTGGCTTCAGATAATCTGTGTAAATTAATCAGGTTGTAAATAATGCTCTAGACAGAAATTGTTTTGATGTATTTTTATGATTTGTTTTTCCCAGTCTGAGTTATCAGTAGTTTTGGCTTCTCAGTTGGGTAAAAAAAAGCCAGATGGTTTCACCAAAGAGAGATCACTGGGTTAATAGAAAGATGTGAGAAGGTAAGGGGAGGAGAACACCAGGGTGACTCAGACTTCTTCCTGGGATGCTCAGAGGACAACAGAAGATGACATGGTGGTACTTGGATGAAAACCTTGTCTGCTGCAGTGGTCTGGGAGCAGGGGCTGTGTGTTGTATCTGAACAAACTACAGGGAATATGTCCAAAAAGGTCATCACTGCTGATTTCACACCTGAAACCTTGTTCATCTTGTTGTGCTTTTGCTTAAGTACATATTCTTCTTGACTTGGTATTTAGATCTTAGTGAAAGTGTCTTTATATGCCTTTATATGCCACTGAACTTGGACTCACATTCTTTCTGATTTGGGATATACTTCAGTAGTTCCCAGTTTTATTCAGCTTCACATTCTTATCTGCCTTCATTTATTCAGACCATCCTCTTATTCCCTCCCTCCCTTTGCCCCCAGGCTTTATTCCCTCTTGCAGCACTGTGGTTCCATTTCTGCAGCAGTACAGTTTTGGAGAGTGGCTCAGAGTCCTCTGTTCTTCAGCTGCCCTGGGCTGATGGGCACTTCCTTTTTTTAAAATCTCTGAAAGAGCAATCATTATGCAGATGTTAAAACGTGCCATTTGGGTATTTTTGGAAATAAGCCATAATCACCTTCAGTCAATGCATTTGAGTGTGACAGATTACATTGCTTAAACATGCTACATGTCTGCCTGGATAAATGTACCACATTAAAATATGTTTTTATTCCCATCAGGTGTCTTTAGGTTCCATTGTTCAATTTGAGAAGGGAAACTTCTCCTTGTCAGCAGAAACGGAAGAAAAGTTTTTTCCTGAGAAAAATGAACACCTGCTACAGTGGGCCCAGAAGGAATATGGAGCAGTAACATCTTTCACTGAACTGAAAATATCAAGAAACATCTATATTAAAGTAGGAGAAGGTAAACCAAAACAAAACCAACTGAACTCATAGACACTTTCAGATACTGAGAATAAGCATTGCTTTTTGTTCAATAATTTCACTTATTTTAATTTTTAAACACATCTCTAATTTTCCAAGAGATCTGGTATGAAAGGGGTAGGCAGAGAAATAAGAGCAAGCATAAAGACCAGGTCTTGGATTTAGGCAACTTTTAATGGATTCCAGTGCCATAACTTTATGCTTGTAAATGTGAATGCAATTGCTCCGAATCTTACAAGAGTCAAACTTTGCCTTTTTAAAGGGAATCTACTACTCATGGTTATTATTTGGGTGCATTCATCTGAAGAACTGAAGTAGAGACCTTGAAGTAGGGGGAAATGTCTAGAAAAACCTGAGTTACACTTACTTTTTTCTGTATTTGCTTGTATAAGGAGCTGGGCTTCTTTGAGCAAAGAATTATTGCTTTCCTCGCCAAACTAAGTTTCCTCAATCTGTCCTTAACGTATTATTATCCCAAGGAGAAAGATTTCCTGTCCCTGTGAGCCACATGCCAGATTCTTCAGGTGGCCTAGTGCAGGTGGGAGAGGACTCCAGCTCCTTGGGGACTTCACAGGCTCGTATTGGGGTGGGGTTCAGGCTGTAGCTCCATAGCTGAGCAGTGTTGGCACAACATATCTATATGATCCTCTGCAGGAATATTTCTACAGAAACTCCCAAACAGCTCAACTAGTTGGTTACAGAAAAGAAAAAGACAACCAAAAAGCCTTCTGTGGAGAAAACATTCTTTCCTAACCACATGTATCTGGTCATTTGATTACCTGACATATGAGGCTTGCCCCTCAAAATCAGAACATGCCTGAGTTAGTTTTATCCAAATCCTGCCAAATTTGTAGAGGATTCCCCTGTGTGGTTGGTTTTGTTTCATTTTTTTGTTCATTCTACTTGGCACCAGTCTTGGATTCTAATGCCAGAAAATCATTCAGAAATATATTTATTAGCTTATTAAAGTGCTCTTGAAACATATACATGGGAGTAGTGGTCTCTGCATCGTGGAGACAAATATTTAATTAGGTAAAAAAACAGTTAAAATTTTGTTTGTTGATTTGCATGTCTCCAGTCAAACCAGGAGGCTCAAGAGGAGAGTTTTGCATCATCTTTAGAATGTGCTAAAAACACAATTTAATTAGGAGTAAGTACACAAAATGGAACTTGGCAGGCAACCAAAATAGACAGTTTCTGAGAAGGCTCCTACAAACTAGCTCAGCTGAAACCATATTGATTTTGATTTAAATTCTTGGCAGAAGAATGAATATGTGTGTATGTGAGGGGGTTGTGCATGTGTTCAGGGGTGGGGACAGGGTCAGTTCTTTAACTGCAGCAGTCCTGTGAGGAGTTATGTGAAAACCACGTGGGATGTGGTCCTGGTATGCTTCTCTGCAGAGTGAACAATAGAATCACTGGATTTCACAAACCACAGCGTAGTTATACACAGTTTAGACTTTTCATACAAAACTTACACTCCTTGTGCTATTTAGTAAGGTACCCTCAGCTGACAGTCTGTGAGTCACTGCTAGTATTGCTCATAATGTATAGGTGGTCATTCAAATCCATTCCTTGCTAGGTGACTGATACAGAATTTGATGGCTGTACCCCTGTAATTGTCTGCATTTCAGCTTCACTCAAGTTAGACAAATCTGAAACGGGAAGATGTAACATTTTAGAAGTGTAGGCTGTAGCTGAATACAGCAAACAGAAAATGCAAGCCAAAGAACAGAAAGATCTGAAGAAGGCTGATGTTTCATAGAATAAAGCTGCTTCTGATACCATGGGTCTCTGAAGTCACTTTTGAAACTGCAAATGAAAGGCAGCTGAAAGCACTAGCAAACTGGATCAGGGCCAAGTGCATCTGAATCCTGTTGATTCTAAAGAGTGTCTGATCAAATGCTGCAGGGATGGCGATCACAGCAAGAATTTTAAGGGGCCAGAATGGGGGTGTGGAAGAAGGAGACACATGAAGTGGGGTCCTTGTTCTTGATTTGTGTAATGAAGGAGATGGCAGAGTGACTGCTTTGATAATCACTATCAGATTCTAGAAAGCGGGACTGCTCATGGTGAAGGTGGTCTTGGTTTGTGTTTTTCAGCAGAAGTCAGTTTAATTCCTCATGGTTCAGTAAGACATGATTAAACAAGTCAGGAAGTCCTATCAGTTAGCTAAATGTTACCTAATGCGTCCAGTATCACCAGTAAATCCAGGGCGAATGTGCTAGCTTGGAGAGACCCTAATTTCAACATATCTCTTAGCTGAATAAGAGAAAAAATTCGCTTTAACAGCAGCTAAACTGGAAAATGTAAAGTCTGTTTACAGTGACACTGTGCTTCTGCCCTGGCAGCAGCTGAAGCACCAGTCCTGACTCTGAATTTATAGCCAGTACACACCAGTGCACACACCCTGCATGCCATGCTTGCTTGGTTTAATGGTTGCACATGGTCACATTGTGTCTGGCTTAGCTGTGTGTTCTGCTGTGGGATGAGCACTGCCTAGAGTTTGCATCCTCCCTCCTGAGACCCCTGTAGGCTCTTCCCTGATCCCATTTCTATCCTGCTATTAAATGCCATCCAAGGCTCTGATCTCTGCTGTGCTAAGGGCTAGCAAATGTGAAATACTCATGAATAAGCCTTACCATCAGAGTGCCCAAGGAAACTTCCAAACACCTTGCTTGTGCCCAGCTCAGACTTTGAATGGCAAGCTCTTCTTGGATGGGATTTTTAGTGCTGAATCCATCTGCTGCTGCCCAGGGTGCCTGTCTTGGAGAGTGTCACGATTAACAGTGCTCATTTGCACAAAAACCTCCTCTGGATGATGTTAAGCTTAGATATTCAACTGTTAGCCAAGAACCTGTGGATGACACCTAATTTGTGCAGAATAGAGCAGACAGTGTCTGTCCTCATCAGTAAAAGAGAAGTGCTGCACACAGAAAGTACAGATCCTGGTGTGCAGTCCTGTCTCCATTCAGGCAGCCTGGCACTCTCAGAAGGAGGAGGTGGCTGCTGGACACTGCTCACAGCTCTGCTGCTTTCTGGCCAGCAGGGCCCCTCTGCACCCCAGCCTGCTGGCCACAGACCCTCTGCTCTGCTGAAGGTGTTGCCTGCACCTCACGTTTGATTCCATATTGGGAGTCTGGGGAGATTAGAGAGGCGCAGAATCCATACACTGACTGTTTGTTGGCTGGTTTGGTGGTGTTTTTTAATGGATTGCAGACACCTGCGGTCCCTTTCCAAAGTAAGTAGACAGCCCTGAAAGTAACAAGGAAGAGATGTGTAGTGAGCAAAGAAAGATGAAATGATTCCCTTTTTCTTTTCTTTTCTGCTCCAGCCCGATTTTGGTAACTGGTGGGGATGAGAGTAAATACATTCTGTTGTGAATGTCAAGTAGCCTGTGATAGAGTTAAAATTTGCTGCAGAGAAAAAGCAGGCTATCAAGTGGAGGCCCAGGCTGGGGAGTCTCCGTGCTCCTGGCAGCAAGAGCAGCACTTCTGGAGAGCTCCAGAGACGCCTAATGGAAGTGCCAGGAGCAAGAACTGAGTTCTTTGCAATGGCAAATGATAGCACGTGTGGTAATTACCCACAAACTACTCCAGAACTGTTATTTTATGGCCTGAATCATGTTGTACAGCAGTTAAGGAGCAAATACCTAGTGTCTGTGTGTATATATATATATCTTTAAAAATTCAAGCTCAGCATAGACCATTTGGGATCATTTTCCATTCTGTGCTGTTGTGGGAGGAGCTGGCAGAACTGCAGCTGCATTCAAGGCTAATCTGGCAGGGCATAGACCAGATGTTAGAGAAGTGCTTTGCTTGGGCAGTATGAATAGTTACAGCCTTATACAGCTTTAGTAGCTTCTGGAGGGGACACAACAGGGTTAATATTCAAAGGCTGCTTTGTGTAAGATCAGGAGAAGAAATTCCCCTGATTGTTTCTGCAGAGACCAGGGTCACAGGAGTCTCTGGTCTTCCTGAAAAGTTGCGTAGCACACACAAATGCACTTCAGAGGTGACATTTCAGCTCTCATTTAGAGAGTGCGTGGCCTCAGCACAGCTCATAAGAGTTTGTTCACAGTTTTGTGTTCACAATGCATCTGTAGTTGATTTATTTTCTTTTTGGTTTTTTTTTGGGGGGGGGTTGTATCTTGCAACTGATCTTAATAGGAAAAGTCTTTCTTGTAAAGCAATGGTCCAAGACCCAGCCATGTGGAATTGTATTCTTACAGGACTTCAGGTGTTTGAACATGGTACTTAGCCCTTCTCTGTATTATGACAATTCATACGTCAAGCTATCTCAGAAATGCAAAGTGCTTCTGATTTTCAGTGGATATACTGTTTCTTGGGGCCAGTAATGTAAGCTGTGCATGAGGTGACTGTTTTTTATGGTTTGCATTTTAGTGGCTCTTCACCCGAAGGGTGGCTGGGGCACTGGAACAGCTCCCCAGGGCAGTGGTCACAGCACCAGCCTGACAGAGTTCAAGAAGTGTTTGGACAATGCTCTCAGGCACAGGATGTGACTCTTGGGGAGTCCTCTGCAGAGCCAGAAGTTGGACTCGATGACCCTTGTGGGTCTCTTCCAACTCAGCACATTCTGTGATTCTGTAATGCTCATGTTCAGCCTTTTGGTTAAAACCAAAAGAGAGATTGGATAGCTATGCTAGAATTTCAGCGTGCATATTGTGATCAGACTTTATTAATATCAACAACTGAATCTATAATTTTCTTGATGTTTTTAATTTTACATGTGTAAGACAAATGCAGTATTTGTTGCTTTCTAGACAATCCTGACTCTTACTACCCTATATATAGGAAATTGAGTAAGGAAATGGAAAGTACTTTCTGTAGTATTTTAAAAAATGTAAGTTTATAGTAACAAGAATAAAACATTTTCCACAGGGAGAAGGAATTGATTCCAAAAGTTATCTCTGAATAAATTACAATAGAAAGAAATGTCTTGTAAAGTTGCAAGGAACATATTAAATGTATTTTATTAATTTTGAAAAGTTTTTGCATATTTTCCTTTAGAATTGTTTTCAGATTTTTCTTTGAAGGGATTTTCTTTCATTAAATGTTTAAATCCATAAATAGTAGCTTAGAGTTTTAGAAGTTTAGGAGCATATATTTTATATTCGAAAGTTATGTATTGGTGCAACAGTAATCTCCCTTTCAATATGTCATTTGTGCTTTTAATAGATGGTAGATAAATATAGTACACACTGAAGTTGTCAGCTTAGATGTACACACGTATCACATCATCTGTGTTCAATGGTCTGTACGCTTTCTTTTTTTTTTTCCCTTCCAGATCAAGTTTTTCCTCCCTCGTGCAACATAAAAAAGAATTTTCTCTCTTTAAATTATCTTGCGGGATACCTACAGCCAAAACCAGCAGAGGGGTGCCTTATGTCTCACTTAGTCCAAGAAAGAGAAGTTCATATCATTGAACTAAGCACTCCCAATTCCAATCCTAACAGGTAAAGTATCATCTAAATAGACTAAAACTGCTTGAAATTATAGCTGAAAACTTCGCTTGTCTGATAAAAATCAACTGAAAGTAGCCATTTCATCCTTAAAGAAAAGCTTGGGCTTTAATACTTTGCCTTAAATAGAAATTGGTTCTTCAGTATGTAAAGATTTTGAATTCTGCTTCATAATCACAGAATTTTTCTGGACAAGACTGCAAAGCACAGCTTTTATGGACTATATACTGCTCCCCTTCTTGCTCAGTCAATCACGTTTTTCCAAAGATAATGTGAATAAGGGAGTATCAATAAGTAAACTGAGAGATTTTAAGGTTAGACCACTATATGAGGAGGTGAGATAGAGGCAGAAAGTAATCTTGACCTGTCACAGGTAGGGATAACTGGCAGCAAGGTCTAGGACAGTGGCTCCCAAGCAGTTTCCAGAGGCTGCAAGTGATCTGTGGTCTATGGGAAGTGTTCCACAGTTGCTCTGAAGATTCACAACAGTATTTTCTGTCAAGTTTCCAGTTTAAGGGATAGTTTGATAATTATGAGAAATGTTAAGTGTTGACAGTGACCAAAAACCTTTTTAACCACTGGTTAGGAAAAATAACTCTCTGTACATGTTATGAAGATTTTCTAAACTGTCAAAGGTGACAGTTACCTTTGGGAGGTAAGACATTTAAAATACTCATCCTTTGCTGATCTTTCCTGGATCTTAGAAGGGAGAACATGCGTGGGGTTTGCTTCAGATAGTTCTAATTGGAAAACCTCTTCCTAACTGCTAAGTATGATTGCTAGAACAGAAATTTGCTATGAAACTTAGATGGTTACAATTTCATCAGAGATAAGGTAGAATTAAAATCCTGTCTGCTTACTGCATTCACTGGATATCTGGCATTGTCTGATTCTGCTCCTCATGCAGCTGCGCGTGAGTGCATCCTATCCCTAATGAGAAAATCACACACGGAGATGGAGGTGGAAGGAGGTGTTTTTGTGAAAAGGATAATTCTCATTTCAAGATGTTGAACCCAGAGCCTGATAATTTTCTTGTGTAGTAACCTGGGGAGAGTAAGAACGTGTTGAGGTATAGTGGAGGTGCAGTAGGTAACGCCAAATGAGGACACAGCCCCATCCTGAGCAGAGCTGATGCTAAGTATCATTCCAAGTCCTTTGTAGTGCTACACAATGACAGCCCTGGTTTCAAGCTTTTGGCTTTGGATGATAGTACAATAGGAATTTGTTTTTGAGATAACACTGCAAAAAGTTTAAATATTTTGCTGATAAAAGTAAAATTAAAAAAGGTACTAAGTTACTTTGTTCTTAGTTTTATGTGTTATCCAGAGCTATCCTTCAAAGTTTAAATCCCCAGAAAAACATACAGAAGCTGAGCTGGGCATGTGTAAAACTGCCAGAGATGGATCAAAGGTCCCAAGATACACTAAGCCTCAGTATAGAATATTAGTTGGAACCTATTACTTGGGGATGAGCAGGTTCTTGTAATGTATGGCCCTATAAGATGGTCTGGAAGTATAGGTTTTTCTGTTGAATTGCTGTTTGGCATGATGAGATGTTATTGAAGGGTAAGAACCCATTTGCTTTACTTATTTTACTGTGATCTTGAAAATCTGGGTAGTTTTCATCTATTTTCCAGCAAGCAGTAGGCTGGACATTTGGGTTTTTTTCTTTTTAAAGTAAGTGTATATCCAGAAGTAGTGGAAACTGAATACACTGCTTAATTCCTCAAAGCACGCAAGATCTTAAGCAAAGTCATTCCACAATTTAACTGTTTAGGCAGAGACACCCTCCAGTATAGTACTTGTGGTTTGGGTTGGGATTTTCATGTATCTGTGTTAACCTGCTTGTCTTTACTTTTTTTAAAGTATTATTTGAAGTTTTAACCAGTTTTTTAACCAAACCAATTATATTTAGGAACTGTCAGTGAAATAAGAAAATTATGTTTACTTTAGAAAGCAACCTGCTAGTCATATAACTTACCTGCACTCAATAATAGGTGAATGGAGTAGCACACTTCTTGTAAATAAGAGACAGAATTTTTTTTTTCTACAAAGTACTTGTTTCTGTTGTTATGCAAAATCACTTAAGTGTATGTGGAATAACAATCTGTTTTGCACATGCTGTGTTGCCTGGGATAATATCCAGTATTTTAATCAGCTGGCCAGACAGTGGAAACATGATGGATTGGAAGAAGGTTGATAGCTGAAAATTTCTGGCATTCTGTTCTAACTTTCTATTTTCCACATGCAGTGCTCTCCAGGTGGATATAATCGTTGACATTAAACCATCTCAACCAGGCGCCAGACTTGTCAGAGATGTCGTACTTATCCTCAAGTGTAGAAAGTCTGTCAATTGGGTTATCAAGTCTCATGATGTCCAGGGAAAGCTGGAAGTGATTGTAAGTTAAGGCACCTTTTTTTTTTTTTTTTTTTTTTACCTTAACTGTTCTTTCATGTGCTAATCTTCATTTTTTTTTTTTTTTTTTTTAATTTGAGAGCTATCATAATGCAATGGTATAGAATCCATTTAAATGTGATGTAGTGCTAGACCATGTTGATTTCTGAATGTTTTCTCTCAGCTGCTTCCTTTTAAAAATTATTGCGTTTTAAAGAGTAAATGCATAAACTTTTTATTCTCATTAACTTTTGATATATGGGCTACAAAACACATTGCAGAAGCCAGGTGGTTAGAGCAAGAATTTAGTCTGTGTCTTTTTGACATCTGTTGAAGCACCCTAAACACAGAGTTGGATGTTCATCTCTCTTTTTGCTGTTACTTTGGTGGATGGACCAACAGGCTCATGTCAGAAGTTGGAACAATGCCTTCACATGCAGAGTAGATAACACTAGATATGCAACACACACCCACATCCCTTTACAAGTGGAAACTCTTTTACTTCTGCTGGTGGTTGTAGTAGTATCTATCCCTCTTCTCTGCCAGTACTTCTGTCTCCAGTAAGTGCTTGGTCAAATTGACCTCATCTCTCCTTAGACAGCAAAAATTATTTTTTTAAAGTTAAAACCAGACTCTCTAAAGTTAAACTTCTAAAATTACTGGAGATGCCGATTCATGTTGATTTTTGGTACAGGCTTTGTGGCTTAACACCATTTCTACTAAGAAAATGCGTGTTCCCTTGCTCTGAAATAAATAAATATCATTGAACTGATCTTGCAGCCTATAAATTTGTGGCCTATTTCTGTCTTAAGTTAGGAGCACATTGTACAGTTGAGCTGAATATTTGCTCAGGACCACCCAGCAGCCTCACAAATAAGTTTTTCAGCAATTCAGTTACATTTTCAAACACCAGTTCTTGGTATTTATAGGAATTTTACTTTGCTTAGTTGCTTTCTGCTTGTAATCTGTGCACAGGAAATTCTGGCAGAATGCAAAGGCTAATTGATCTAAATCTCCTAAGAAAATAGATTGGTGAGCAGGATTTCATAGTAGCTTTTGAGAGCAAAGGGAAATAAAAGAAAGCTGATTTTGGTGTTCCTCGGAAAATTGAACGGAAAAATTATCTAGGGTGGATGATGAAGTTCACTCTTGATCATATTTATCTTACAGACAGGAAAGGATGTTCTGATCGTTCTGTAGGTCCAAAATAGTCAGTCCTTAAAGAGAAAGGTCAAGTTTGGTTGCTGAGGATTACCACTCTTGGAAAAGCAGAAGGATGAAAAAGAATGCTTGGCTTCAAAGTTTGATTCTGTGTTATTGCATGAAAGTCACCACTGGAATATATTTGGGAATATATGGATCTACTTTCACAGGCTAGAGAATTGTGCTTTAGTACACACCATGCTAGGAGGTAGCTCAAGTAGTGTATTTCATGTCCATGAAGCTATGGATCTACTTTCTGGATGATCAATTTTCACAAGATGATTTCTAAAGGTTTTTAAAATCTTTAAAATGCTGCACTTGAATATAGAAAAACAAGACTACTTTAAAAACTTTATTTCTAAAGCTCTTTTTTATTAATTATTGAGAAGATAAGTAAAAAGTGTAACTAAAAATAGTTTCTGTAATGATGGCAGAAGGTAACATTTTCTTTAGATTAACAAAAAGAGAAAGTAATACATTAAATATATACAGAAATGTCAGTATTTAAAAGACTTGTATTCATGTTAGAATTTGTGAGTAACTATTTATTTTACTACTTCATTAATATAGATGCTTCAGTTTCTAAGTATATGTTCATTTTCCTTTATTTAGAGTGGGTAAGGGAGGCAACTAAACTCCCCCATGTCATTAAAAAGCCTGCATATCCAGCATTTAGAATGTCTTCATATCTTTATTAAGCTGAATGCCTTTCCAAGCCCAAATTTAGACAATGCATAAAAACATTACTAAGCAATTAGGTAATGTTTCACAATGTCCTTTTATTAGTTGAAGCAGTTCCATGCACTTGAATTTTCCTAACTTCTTGCCCTCACTATGAATTAGAATTGTCTTGAGGGGATTGGCAAGCTGAGAAGGAAAGGTTAGTGCTAAGCTGCCTCAAACCCAGGACTGTAAGGTGTAAGTTCACAGATAAAAAATGAAAAAGATGTTTTAGGTCATATAGCTCATCTCCCAGCTTGCTGTGTGTTTTTAAACTCTGCAAGAGGATGAACACAAACCCAAGTGAAATGGGAGTTGGTGAGGTAAATTAATTGCACGTGATGTATGTGCAGTGCTTTGCTCCCAGGCTGTGTTTAACTCCTGTGTTGAGTCCTTACAGGCTTCTGTGGTTCTGTGCTTGTACAGGGCTGTTCACATCACTTCCTTTGCAGCTGCTGTCCCTCTGCAAAGCTGGGAACTTGCAGTGAAGTTCCAGAAAGAAAATAAGTCTGTTGAGGGGCAACGAGTCAGAGAGGTGCAATGCACAAAACAAACCTCTGAGGGTTTCAGAAGCTTGGAGGGATGCTTGTTTTCCTGACAACAGCTGCCCACCACTTTCTGAAATGGTGTCTATTCTGAGTAGATTGGTGGGTGCTCAGATTGCCTGGTTTCAATCCCTGTGTGTGAAAGTGTTGGCAGGACAGGCAAGTAAAGGAAAGTGTATTCCTGCAAGCCCTTGTTCTTGCTGTTGTCTCAGTGGGGCGAGGCAAGACTGAACATTTTCAGGCTCAGTGTGGAGTGGAGGGGTGCAAACAAGCCCTGGAAATGCTCGGTTGCCAGCTAGGACCATAAAGTTCTGAGATAATATTTGTTCAGCTGTCTCCTCATGACAGAAAAGTAAAGAGATGCAGCAAAGTTGGGGTAGCATAAAAACTCCTACCAGTCAAAGCTGTGTGGTAATATGAAAATACGTGATCAGTCGTGTCCAGATTAGCATGTATTGAAGATCAAAGATTAGTTGATCTCAAAGAGTAGTAAGGCACTAAAATTAGGATACCTGTTGCTCCATTTTTGTTTCTTATCTTCAGTGGCCTTTGCTGAGCATTGATAACAGTTCTGGTAACAGTATCCTCAAACCAGGCCTCTGTACTTAAAGTTGCCTTTAACTTCAATTGTGAAGCTCTAAGTGTTTAAAGGCTGCAGAACTGTGTCTTTAGGAAGAAGTGAGGGAGGGAGCTAAAGGCACACTATGCTGTTCCATCAGGACTCTCTACATGCTTGATTCACTTCTTTGTTCAAAAGAACAAATAATATTCATTCTGATGTCAGGTAGAGAGGTGCAACTGAGCTCTCTGACCTGTGTAGCATGTCCATATGAGTACTGTCTAAGAGAGATCTCTCTAGTCAATCTTCTGGTGTTCTAGAGTGAAAGAGATTTAAGATTTGTTCATATTGAGGAAAAACCAGTGGGAATGAAAAGAAGATGCAGCCTGTGTGATGGAGAAGGTAATCGAGCATGGGAATGAAAGTGTTTGTGGAGCATTCCATGGTATCAGCTGCATTAGAAAGTGTGTGTCAATCACATTGCAGAAATCTTTGAGAAGTAGGTCATCATCATGCCTTTCCTGCAGCATCTTGGTTCATCTTGTTCTGTAGCCATTGATGTGATTGTTATAGTGATAATAGTAATGCTGTGACTGGAAGAATAAAGATATATGTATTTAGCTTTGGTGTGAATGAATACATGTTAAAGATGCCAAGCTGCTAAATGCAAGTTTATGTAATACCAGTGAATATTTTTGAAATGCTCCTCTAACAGTGAGAGATACTTATGTTCCTTTGACTTGCCTATTTGGGCAAGAAAATTTGAAATTTTACAAAACATTTACAGGAAAATGAAAACTAAGTGGTTGTATGACTCATTTATTTAATAGTAATTCAGCATGTGCATTTATGAGTTTGCTGTATCCATGTTTTTGTGTAAAACTTGTAATGTTAATTAATTTAAAGTCTTTTCATGTGCAGAAAGTATATGTTGTTTTTCTTAAGTAGTCTGGCCATGCATAAATGTGCATGCCCTCATTTAGTCTATTTACTGCTCTATTAAGTGTTTCGTTCAATCCTGTTTAACAAACTCAACCCTTTGGAGGAGGCACATAGCATTTCTAGGTTGAAGCTCATTAGACACAGCCTGTCTGTGGTGCCAGCTGACTTACAGCCTTAGCTGCTATCAGCTTTACTTCATGAGCATGCTTTTTGCCTTTTTCAGTAATGCTCATTTGAAAAAAGGTTTTCCTTTATCCAGCTTAAGTAATGCTCTAATCCAAGAAATTAGGGGACATTTGAAAATTCATTTGTCATCTTGACTTCACTTCAGGAGTAATTTCTGCACAGTTTTGAAGAAAATATGCCATTAAAAGGCTGTAAGTATGTCTTTGTCTTGTTTAGGGATTAACAGTTTCTGATTGCCTTGATTTATTGTCCTCCAGACAGAGGCTGAGAGGAAGCAGGGGGTTCTTTTCCATCTGTGCAGCAGTTATGTCCCTAAAGTTGCAGGGTTTAGTTTATTTCCAGAGTGTCCTCAGTTTGCTGTTACTTAGTAGATTAAAACAGAATAAAAAACCAGGGTTCAGTCAGTGTCACTATTCCATCATAAGTATCCTTAAGTGATAAATCACAAACTAAGTTTTTCTTTATTTACAGACATCAAATAGTATTGGTTTTGGAAAAGAAACAGAACGATCCATGACTATGAGTAAATCAGTAATACCTGACCTTCCCTCATCACATGAGAGCTTGATCAAGTGGGCTTATGAGCATAATTACAGTCCAGTTATTTCCTACACAAAAGCACCTGTTGCTAACAGATTTCATCTGCAACTTGAAGATACTGGTAAGTTTTAGGATGGACTTTTAGCATATAGAAAAAACATCTTATGTTTCTAGGAATGCCATTACTTGAAAGGCGTTTTCTCAGTTTTGAAACTTTGGTTTTGGTGTTGCACTTTTTTTACTGCTTGTCACCAAGAATGCTGGCAATATATATGAATGATGGTTACAAGTGATAATCTGTGGCTTTTTGATTAAAAAAGTCCAGGCAAAGTTGTGTTATTTCCTGAAGTTTGGTGGAATCAAATGTTTATCCAACACACAAGACTTCATAGCTGAGGGTATCCAGTGTTCACTGAAATAGATGTCAGCAACTGGATATCTTGTTAGTTAAATCCAGCTTTGATATTTTTTTTTTAGTGTGTTTTTTCCAAAAGTATGAGCATAGTATTTCCTTGAGATGATTAAATAAACATTGAAACTGTTTACAAACCTGAGTGGCTTACCAAAAAAGTCTGAGCAAACAGAATAAATACAACTATTGAAAAAAACTGGATATTTGGCCAAAGTAATTGCTGATGTGAAGCTATCTGGGTCCATTGAAGCTAGCAGAGTTCTGTTTTTTTCACAAATTCTGAGTTTCAACCAGTAAAACTAGTGTTTTACAATTTTGATAAAGTTTATGCTCACATTAATTTTATCAATTGCATTCTCATGCTGAGGAGGTTCTATCCTCAGCAGTCATGTGTATAAGCCAAAAGATAGTTTTCTCATTTACTCACTATAAAGTTAACTCTCATTTAGCTTCATCCTGGTTATAGAAGTAGTTTCACAACAGCAGTGGCTGAATTTCTGGTGGGTCAGGTAGTGGAAGAATTTCACCTAATGATTTGCACTTAGACTCTTTCAGCAGTACCAAAATAGTATATTTGATGAATGTGATGTTTCTTTTACCTCTGTGGCTCTTTTACATATACTAGGACCAGTCATCAAAAGTTTATTTTCAGCTCATGGTGAGAGAGATTTCTGACAGGGACTAAGTATACCTAAAGATTAGATGCCTCAGCACCAACCAATTGGTTGTAGGAGTTGTGGCTACTTACCTGAAAAGTACAAAGATGGTGCTTGTAATATCTTTCAGGAGCTCCCCTTATGGATAATTCTTTTTTTGTATGAAAATTACTAGTTCTGGATACTTTTTAGGAAAAATAGCTAATGAACTCATATGCATTTGTTGTTGTTTGGTTTTTTTTTTTAGAAGAGATGAATGATGAAGAAGACCATTCCCTTCCTCCAGAGCTGACAGAGTTACTGGGTGCTAACCCACTGCCAGCTCCAAAGAACACCGATGGCCTGACTTTTCCATTTCACATTAACAGAGGAAGACATGACACAGTGGGAGAAGAAATCTTCCCCTCCAGGCATTCAGTAGATACATTAATAAATCATGACTTTGGGCATTCCCTCTCAAAACATAAAGAACCTGAAGAAGTTCAGGGCAGTGCTGATATGGCCCTGTCAATAAAGTGTGATGACAAAGTTATGACAGTGGCTGTAGAAAAAGATTCTCTACAGGTTGGTGTGATATTTTATTCTCAAAACAGGGGAGGCTTTTTTGGGTAGACCATTTTATTTGCATTTTGATTGAAAAAATAAACATTCAAAGTCCTACAGCCATCACCACACAACCCCCTCCCAAAGAGTTTTGTGAGGGAACTGTACTGTAGATGTTCTTTGCCATAACTTAGAATCGTGTTTTCTCTTCCCAACAATCTGGTGGTTTTTAGAGAGATTTCTGATTGAAGATGTGCACAGTTGGTTCTGTCAAAAAATTACTGTACTCAGCCATCAGTCTGAGTTTTTAATTTCCAAAGTACAAAGAAGCTGCTTTTGGTAGTAGTGTGAAACCTAAATAGATCTAAAGGTCTATCTTTACCATCTACCAGCTGACAGGTTGCTTGTATCCATTTGTATTGTGGAAAAGAGCCTGGAACAGACAGCATTTCAGCTCATTTCAGAGCAAACAGAGTCAGCATTATTAATCAGCAGATTAATAATGAACCTGTTGTTTCCTTTTTTTCCATATTACATTTATTCTTTGTCTGCCATGTGTGACAGCATTTTGAGAGTGACCTTCCCTGGATGTCAGTACAATGAGCTTCACTTCCTGCTGTCAGCAGTCACGGGCAGTGACTGAGCTGCTCTGCAGCAGGAGCGGGCACAGTTGTGCCTCAGCCCCTGACAAAGCGCTTTTGTTTCAGGCTGGCGGCTACGCCCGCACGGAGCTCTCGCTGCTGGACCACTCCTGCAAAGCCAGGATGAACGGCACCCACTTCATCCTGGAGTCCTCACTCAACAAGTGTGGCACTCGGACAGCATACATCTTGAACAAGATTGTTTATTTTAACTCTGTGAGTATTTCTCAAAGAGGATCCACCTTCTGTACTGCCCATCATAGTAGTATGAGGAAGCCATTGTAGTTAGCTTTAGTCTTAGCAAAAAGGAGACATCCTGATCCTTTCCTGCCAGTGGCTGCAACTAGCTCAAACCTACTTGCTGCCACTGTCCCTGTATTTAAGGAGGTATGAAGGCTGCACATACAGTGTGCTCCTGTGGTCAGAGAGTATCCCAAAGGAAAACAGAGGAGTTGGAGTTAAATACATTTTACAACGTGGCTGCCCTTTGGGACCATCTGTACCAGTCTGGGAGAAGTTGCACTGGTGTTCCCTGTGCAGCTTTGATCATCCATGCATACATAGTAATACACTGTTGTACAGAGAAATAGGAATGAAGTTTTGCAATTGCACAAAATTTTTAATTAATATCCTGAATTAAATGAAATATTTTTCTTCTAAAATTGTGTGAAAAAAGGGGTTTAAAATGTGAGGCAATTATATTATTTTGCATGCTTTTCTCTGAGAATTTGAATTTATATTTTTTAGCACTTGCTGTATGTAATGAAGGGACTCTTGAGTACTAGTATATGAGTGATGATGCAAAGAGCCCAGCTAGGTTGTAAGCAACTGCTTCCAGATTGGCTCAGCTTATGAGCCAGAGTACAATGCAGATATTCTGGGTTCAAAAGTAATGACATGTTTCTCTTGCTGAGCTTTCCAGTACATAGAAGTAACTTTGGCAAATGATGGAAAGCCTGTGGTCCAACTCAAACACAGCTCAGGCAATGTGATCTGACCTTGCCTGGTTAAAACTGTTCTATGCTGGGGAGTCAGTAGCACCTAACTTTAGAAACAGTCCCAAACCAAGACAGAATATTCAGCAAACGACAGAAGAGCACGTGTCTGGAGCTAAATACTCTTCTGTCCCTGTATTCTATTATGGCCCAAAGTAAAGTGGTTATTTACCTCCTCTCTTTTCTCCATCATGTCTTTTAAGTCTTGGCTATACACTTGATCTTTGAATCGTGTATGGGATTGTTCAGAATTTGGAAGCATTTCTCCTAAAAAACAGACAGCTTGCAGTGGAGTGTCAAAGGGGGTGTGTGTGTCATTTCTTAGCAGTTATTCTAAATCTAAGAAAACCAAGTTGAAGTCCTGGGAGGGAGGGAATTAGCTGTGAAGCTGCAAGCATAGAGGCAGAATGCAGAACGCCAGAAAACAAAACCATAAACTTCCAGGTGAAGAAATGAAGACATGCGAAAAAGATGAAAAAAAGGAGAGAGAAATTCAATTAAAAAAAAACAACGGGGGGAAAATGAAGAAGGAATATTATGATTTTGGGTGTACATATCTAAAAAAATTGTTAATGATAGAAGAGAAAATCCTTTAGTGACCCTAACATTTTTAGCGATTTTTTTATGAGTGCACCAAGGAGAACTGCAAGTAGCAAAATACCACTTTAGAAAGCCATTTCTTTTTTCAGTGTTGGCTGCAGAAATACTAGAAATAGAACGGAAATGCTAGGCTGCTCATTCAGACACCAATACTCAGACTGGTGTCTTCCTTCACTGGCTCTGAATTCTGGAAAAGAATTCAGGCATTCTTTAAATATAAGCTACATATCCTACACGCTCAGCATAAGGCTGTTCAAGACATGCTTTCACCATTGCTTAGCTGGGGCTCTTCTTGTGGCCTTTGCATTGTTCTGAAGAGAGCAGAAAATAATAACCATGGGAGTGCTCAGTTATCACCTAATGTAATTTGTTTGCAATCCCTCTCTGTGCAGATTGTCATTCAGCTGTCAGCACCAGCTGAAGGCAGCGGCTTTGAAGATGACGACCTGGAATCGGGTGATAATGGATTTCCAGGGGATGCTGATGAGGGAGAGGTGGCTTTCTCAAGCTGGCCTGAAATAGCGGTATGTTGCCCTGGGGTTTGCGTCTGACAATGAAGAAATACCTATTGTAATAGGCATTTCACAGAAATCACATTAATTGTCTAGAAATTCATTTGTCTTTTAGCACATTTCTTCTCGCTAAGGTTTCTTATGACCCTGTTGAAGATTTGCTCTAAGTAGATGTTATATGGGTGGGTCTATATTGTACATAACAAATTTGTCCTACTGCTCCTGACTCGTGATGTTACTTTATTTTTTTTCTCATTTTAGTTTAATTGCACACTGCACCAGCCAGAAGATGACAGAGGCGTTTTCTGGCCTCCTGAACCACACATTACCAATGTGACCTTCAACATGGAACTGTACAAAACAGACTTGTTCCTTGCTCCTTCCCAAGGACTCTTCTCTGTTGCTGAGAATGGGCCAGTATATGTAGAGGTAACAAACTGAAAAAGGCTTCAAACTAACAGAAGGGTTCTGTGACTGAGCCAAATCTGTTCTTGTCAGTTGAAAGATTTTGTTGGGCAGTTGGTTCAGGCCACTGTGGTGGCTGCAGAGAATAGAAACTGCGGGATAAGAAGTAGGACAATATTTTGGGTAAAAAACCCAAAGGATTCTAGCAAAATGGGTGAATTTAACTTACAAGGTAAATTAGTGATTCTTGCTGAATTTGCTTTTCCATACTTAACTCAAAGGCGGTTTCAGAGCTTATGCTCTGAACTGGCATTTCCTGATCATTTCATTTTAATGTATGTCTGAAACATGTAGACATGAAAAAGATTATTAGAGATGTGAATCTTTCATATGCTAGTGTTCTGAGGTTACACAGTTAATACAGGTTCTGGTCTCTCTCCAATCTGCTCAAAAACATCAGTTATAATCCTTTTGAATGCTACCACATAAGATATCTAGCAGATTTAGATAAATAATACTGAAACGAAATCAGCAGCTGGGTACACTTGACTGCAGGTGCATTTTGCACATGATAATATTTCCATGTGTTGCCGAGTTGCTTGTGAAATCTCTGGAACTTCACACCAATACAATCAGTATTTTTAAAGATAGCTATATGAACAGAATTTTGGATTTTCAAATGATGGTACACATTAATAAACGCAGCTTTGGCAGTGAAGAAGCATTGCCAGTTTCTAGGCAAGTAAATCACAAGGTGTGGGCTGTGGGGTTGTAAGACCAGGACAAAGCAGCAGTGCTGTGCTGTGCAGTGTTTCCTTTGCCCAAGTCAGCTCCTCTTTGGGAGCCCATGTTGCACATGATAAGCACAGTGACCCATGGTGCAGTTTTCTTCATGATTTCAGTGTGCTTTGTTGTTTCTTTGTTCTCTACCCAGTGAAAAGTACTTAAGATAGCTAAAGCACAAAATAGTCTGTCACACTCAGAAATAATAAAGAGTATTTTTATAGCAAACACTTAGAGCCATCCGCTTCCTTCATTGTTCTGGGATGAATCCCCCTGACTCTAAGGCCACTGGAGCTGTTTATTCAGACAGATGTTCTGATTTCTTCATCACCTGCCCTGGCAAAAGCCTTTTTCTTCTGTTTTCTTTCTTACAGAGTGGAAAACATATCCATTTTGAACTTCTGTGACTCCATTTTTTTAAGATGACACTGATTTTTTTTTTCCCCTTTTTTGTTTCTATTTTGCATTTATTACTAAGAAAGGTTTTATTTTGATTTTGACAAATACATATTTAGTAAAAATTAATTATCTACTTTTTCCTTGTAGTTTTTTTTGTTTGTTCTGGGTTTTTTTTTTGTTTGTTTGTTTTTTTGGTTTGTTGTTTGGTTGGTTTTAGTTTTTTTTCTTTTTTTTTGTTTGTTTGGGTTTTTTTGTTTGTTTGTTTTTTAAAGGTTTTTTTGGGTTTTTTGTTGTTGGGGTTTTTTTGTTGTTGTTGTTTTTTGGGGGTTTGTTTTGTTTGAATCTTTTGGATTCTGGGGTTTTTTTCTTTCTTCTCTGCAGTCAATTTCTTACCATATTTGGGATTTCCACCTTCCTCCTGTGTTTTTTTCTTTCCTTGAGATATTATTCATCTTTTTATTTAATTAACTGTAGTATGCCTGTCCTACTTTCCATAATCTCTTTTTTAATTAGTTTACACCATCAGCTTACTTCCTGTCAGTATCTGTGGCTGACTTTTGTTCATCCATCTTTATTTCTGTTCTTTTTAGATGATCTTTCTTGCTTAGAAGCTTCAGCACATCCCTTCGTCTCTAATTTGATTGCTGCTCACATAAGGGAGAGAAAAAATGAGAAATCCTTTTATTCACTGCAAAACTACTAGCATCCAGAAATTACTGCATAGACACACAATTTGGCAGGCTCTTCCTTAAAGATACATGCAGCACATATGGATTAAGTATGCATATAAGGCACGTTTTTTCTAAGAAGATTTCTTATGGAACTATTCCATGGGGCAGTGTTAATGGTTAGACAAATGCTTCTGTTGTTTCTTAAGAGCAGCATGCCTCATTTGGTACCAATTCCATTTATTTTTTTCTTCTAATTATTCTGTAGCATTTATTGTCCACATTCCAATTCAGCTGAGCAACATCAGGGCATTGGAAACTTTCAGTCTTAATTATTTTTCATAAAAGAACATGAATTTCAAACTTACAGTAAGCTAAAAAGATCCTTTCACAAGAAAATACAGCTTTTTAGGAGGCTCTCTCACCCCCTCCAGTCCAGGAATGCCACCCACACGTCAGACCATGACCTCCTCTGTGCCTTTGCATTCCTGTCTTGGCTGGGGTGGATTCTCTGTTGTGTCTGTTGCTTTTATTTTTTTTTTCTGTTTTCATTATAATTTTGAACAGCTACAAACCCATGGAATCAGTGATTGATTTCCATACAGCTCTGTTATAGCCTGTGTGTCTAAGGGAGGCAGTGCCATCTCAGGTGGCAGACACAGACATTAACTGTGTGTCTTATCAAGGGGGGTTTATCTTTCAGAAAGATAAGGAATTGCTGTATTTATGCATGTTTATGCTATTAAACAGCTGTGGTTTTGAAACCACAGATTTTCTGTCTCTCAGTTTGACAGTTTACCCTTAACATTTAGCCTTCAGAATATTTCAGATTGGAAATGGCACTGGAAAACTGCTTAAAAAATTATTGAAAATATTAATGAAATGTGAACTAAAACTGTAATTTCTGAGATCTTTCTGTCTCTTTCTTTAATGCAGGTGTCTGTGACTAAAGCTGACAGATCCTTGGGCTTTGCTATTCAAACGTGCTTTGTTTCCCCGTTTTCAAATCCAGATAGAATGTCTGACTATACCATTATAGAAAACATTTGTCCTAAAGATGAATCTGTTAAATTCTACAATATTGAGAATTTTCCAATACCACATGCACAGAAGGACAGAAAAAGATTTAGTTTCGTGTTCAAACCAGTGTTCAACATCTCACTGCTTTTTCTTCACTGCGAGTTGACTTTGTGTACAAATAAAGACAAAGATACTCAAGGACTGCCAAAGGTCAGTAATTTATTCAATTTATGAAAACTTGTGATTTACATGAAAACAATGTATTTTTTCATCTGAACTCTGAAGGTAATAAATTATTTTCTCTGGGATTGTCTAATGAACATGATATCTCTAGGCTCAGGGTTTTAATAGATAAGAGCTATTATACTGTGCATTTTGACTACATAATTTGCAGTTTCTGTTTAAATTTCATTGGATGGCTGTAAATAGAAATTGCTTTTTATTGCACAAGTGGCTCAAGTTTATCTTCTCTATGCATATCCAAAGCACAAACCATGTTAGCCTTAATTTCCAAAGACATTAACCATATTGAATAATATTGTAATCTGATTGCTACAAAAGAGAAGGTTGTTTGGAGGTTCCATTTTTGGTAAATGATGTAGGGTAAAACTGGATTTGAGGCACCTGTGCCATTGGCACAGCTGTCCTGGCAAATGGGTGACTGACCTCACACTCTGTTCTTTGCACTCCAGTGCATTCCTCCTGATGAAGCTTGCACCTCTCTCAATGTGGATATGATCTTGGCCATGATGCACAACAAGAAAACCTTCACCAAGCCCCTTGTTGTAATAATACAGGAAGGAAAACAAGAAGGTATAAAAATGAGCTTGATCTGTTTAATAATGCTATGTATATATAATATTTTGTAATATAGAGCCACTTGAAATGAGGGAGTGGTACAGTATGTGACATTGTATAATCCTGTGGTGGCACTTTGTCTATAAGATGTTAGGACATTTCCCTGGCAGTAGTCATCAGGTCAAGTCTTTGCCATTTTTTAACCACGTTATTGTTCCCTGGACGTGTGGGTTTGCCCAGCATTGAGAGAGGAATACTAAAAGCTGTACAAAATAACGTGGGTTTTGGAAATATGAGTGTAGCAGTAGCACTTGGAGCAGTTTCTTGTTGCCCAGAGATCAAAGGCAGTGTTCTGCTCCCTGCTGTGTCCTTTATTTATTGTGCTTGTAAATATAAATTTATGAATAATAACAATGGAATTGCAAAATACTGAGGATGTTAAAGCCTGATAAGTTTGTAAGGCAAAGAGGTGGCCCCTGGAGACTCACTAGATTCTTAAACTATGAAGAGCAAAGGATAGTATGCACAAAGGGGCTCCTTTGGTGGGACTTGTTTGATTATGTAATCTTTCCTGAAAAAAACCAAAACTGTGATTAGTAACTGGTTGAAGGAGATGGAGAGGCTGAAGTGCATTGTGAGATAATGCCAAACAGCATGATGAGACCTTATTCTAGTTTAAGAATATGCCCTGTGAGTGATGGAAAGTAAGAATTGTTCACACAGTTTCATTTAATTGGAAAGTTTTTCTTAGAAAATCACTCTGATAGCAGCATCAATCACGTTTTGATGCAGTCCTAGAAGAAAATATGTGCATTTGTCTTTTCTTTTTGTATTTGCATTGAAGTTTCATAAGAAGCTTCAATGGCTTCCCATACACATCAGTATTTTCCAATGGTGTCCAAAGGCTGTTTGACCTCTGGAATGCTTTTCAGGGAGCATCAAAAGGATGGGGATCAGGAGTCCTTCATCCTCTGTTTTACAATGCATGCTGTTAGTCTTTGAACGATTTCAAGTTCAAATACAGCATTACTAGGGGTACATAGGCAGCAACTGTTTCTGTCTAACTCAGCAAGTCAGCTCATATTTAGTTTGGAGCAAAATTGTTAATACAAATCAAATCCACTATGAATTAAAGTCAAGTATTTGATCTCTTGCTATTACAATTAAAACTGTGCTTTGGGCCTGATTCTGGACTTTCATTTTGCTCAGCTCTCATATTATTTCAGTAGGTTTTCTATTGGGAATGAGTAAATCCTGCAACTGAAATTTGGCTTTCAATAAACAGACTCGTAGTTCAGCTCTCTTGTCCTTATGATGTGTGGAGCATTGTGCACAGCTCCCATCTTGGGCTCCACTCAGAATGTTGTCTTTGTCAGAGGCACAAGGTCTCAGTGTGCAAAGACAAGCTAAATTTATACAGATTAGTTACAAGACAACAGTGTGATGGAGTATTTTGTTGCATTGTGGGTGATTTTAGTATAATTGTGGGACTCTTGGTGGAAATCTCCCCAGCATATCCCAGCTTTCAGACATAATCCAAAGTGGCACATTAACAATGTAGCTTTGTTGGTGTGCAGTTGTTCTGCACTGAATCAAAACCCCTTTCTTAAAGCCAAATGCCATTGTTGGCCATTACATGAACTTAAGATTTGGAGAAGAAATTATATCATGTTATTGAACAGGAGAATTTACCTCTCAGAGGTAGTGTTGTTTGTTTTCTTTGATGTGAAGAGAATCAGCTTTCACTATTGCAAACCACTCTATGTGAGGTACTGCCCCTGGTTCTCCTCTTCAAGTTACATGTGTAAGTCATGTGCTTGATATTTCAAAAGTCAGAACAAACTGAACAACCACAAAGGTGTTTTTTTCTTCAGACAAGCTTGTAACTGTCATTGCCTGTATTAGAAATCACAATACTGTATATAAATGAGAATTTGCAGTAGATCCCAATGGAAGTGTTGAAAACCTAACTCCATGCCACCTACGCTCCCTTTGCATACCTGCATTTCCCCATGCTCTTTCCCACTCCCATGAAAGGCACAAGGATGGCCATTTATATGCTAGGAAATACAAGTTCTGTTGGAATAATCTACCAACGTTGTTCAGATTTTTGCTAAGAGTGGAAACTTTAATATTTCTACAGCAAAAAGAGACAGGTCATAGAAAGAAGGTCCAAAGGCCTCTATCCTACAGAGGTATAGAAGACAATCATTCTAAAGGCTGGCAGCACTTGTTTTTAAATTAGATGGTTTTTTATAGACCTCAATGATTCTCACTGCTTCTGAATTGCTCTGAGCAAATTGCAATAAAATAGATGTAAAAACTGGATGACTGAAGAGAATTGATAATGAGCTACACAGCTTATCATTAGTTGATTTCATATTCTCTGTAGAGAGGCCAGTGATAGAAATAGCATGGAAAATTAATTTTCCTCTCAGCTCAGAAGGCATTTTCTTGGCACTTGGGATATGCCAGTGGAGTGTTTGGACAACCTGATAGTGCCCTTACCCATGTTTGTACTTCTCAGTTGCAGTCCTGCCCTCCTGGCAGATCTTACATTCAGTTTTAGTGTTGCTGTTACGTGCACTTGATAACTTTCCAGATTATTTGTGCATGCACCACCCCACACACCCCTCTATGTCCTCACCTGTTTCCTACTACTGTTCCACCTGTTTCCTATTATCTGCCAAAAGTGATCTGAGACAATAATACAGTTTAAGAATAAAATGCTTTTTTTGATTTTGTAGGCACATGTGTCTCAGGTCTAAAGGGTATTGCTGGAAGTTTGGTGCTGCCATCTGGGTTTTAAAAGTTAGAAGCATAGTCTTATTTAAGAACACTTTAAAGAAATTAATATATTTATTTTCAGTATTTTTGGGCTGTTATGTTTGTGCAGAAATTAATTAAACTATTTTTTTCCAGTTGCTAAAGATAAAAAAAAAAGTATTGAAACGCAGTCTTATAAAGTCCTTTTACATCTGTTGCACTGATCACACTCAGATATGCAGAATATAAATGAAACCCCTGAGTTGCTGGGCAATCCAGAATCGAACTGCAGCCAACCAAACAGGTCCCTGGGTCTGAGGCCAGAATCTCTAGCTCTTCTGCTTGAGGTGGCATTCTTGGAGAAAGATGAGAGGCCAATCAAGGAAAAGGAGGGGAAATTCTTCATGTTTTAAACATTTGTTTACTTGTCTCTTTCTGTTACAGAGTGAAATCTTCATCACTAGGATGATGATATTTGATATTCTTGCCTAGAATAATAACTTTGATCTTTGAACAATACCTATGATCTTTTATTCTTATATATAATAATACATTTTTTAAACTCTGCCTCCCAAATAAAAAAAAAAAAACACCCCACACAACTTCCAAGGCAGAATACCATGCAGAACTCAGGAAAACGGGTGAATAAGCACATATGCATGTAATTTGGACAAAGCAGTATGCATTGTGCTGTAAAACTCACTATTCTTTAGTGAGCGTTTGCTTTTGTGTGTGTGTGACTTAGTGTACTGGTATCTCATATTCATGATTAGTGGACAGATGAATGTGATCACCTTAAAACAATTTTTGTTCCTTCATAGTCTGTGAACTTTAGGAGATACACATAGGGGTTACCAGAGTTACTGTGGGTCACAGCTGATGACATCTGATTTGGGAAAGGTTGCAGTGTATTTGTCAGCAAAATATATGGTCCATGAACTATACTCTAGCTACATGAGGAATAATTAATATATTACTAGAATTTTTCTGAAGTGAGTGAGATTACTAAATTTGGTCGGCTTTTCCTGAAATTCATGGTTTGTAAAAATTACAGTTAATGTCTTTCTGTGAGATCAGAACCTGCATCGTTTGTAGGCTGCATGTGGAATTCTATCTGATTAATGTTTTGTACATTTTCTTTGTTTTAAATTAGATCCTTCCCTTCCAAAGCCAAACATGAGACAGCCACGTAAGTAACTCTTAAAACAATCTCTTTTAATCTTTAAACATTTGTCTGCAAAGCACTGGAGAAATTAAGAAAATTCTCTTCAAGCTTTCTGAGTGTGTGCATGTTTAATTCAGAGACAGAACAGAATTCTGACTGTAGTGTTGACTGAGAGGTTCCCATCAGTGTTCGGAGGAGGACTGTGACCTTTTGTGTATGTGAAAATCAGTTTTGGGGAAACACACTGAGAGTCTCAGACTTAGCAAGTTCCCGTGCTGGTGTGTGTGTTATCTCCCCCTCTCTGCTGAGAGTGTTAGAGCAGCAGTGCCATCCCTCAGAGCTTCTGGGCCCTACCTGGGTCCTATTTCAGCCTCACTCCTGTCCTGCACCACAGCCCCAGGTGCTCCAGCACTTACAGGCCATGCTTAGATGAGACGACTGCCTTGATATGAATTAATTTCTTTGGTTTTAATGTTGTCTTGGTGTAGTGAATTAATCAGGGTCCATTAATGACCCAGAAAAGGAGAGAAGCAGCACTTGAAGAGAATAAACAGAAAGGTGCAGATGATGTGCAGCCAAAAGCAAGAGTGAATAGAGAAAAGGGAGATTTTAGAAGTGTAAAGCAGGTTTTTCTTCTGCTCCTGTCCCTGTGTTCAAGACTAAGTTTGTTCAAAATAGTAAAGGCAGTGAGCAATTATGTCTCTGCCACTTCTCTATGCAACTTTCTTCTCTCCACTGTATTTCCTCTGAAGAGGAGAGGACACTGACTGGTGCCTAGTGGAAAAATCAGTTGAGTTTACTATTTTGTGTTTGCACTCGAATGACTCGAAGTAGCCAAAGGAAGCAGAAACAGTCTCATAGAAAAAATGATAGAAAAACCTCCTAAGACATTATCTATCAGGTGGTCAGGTGTTATATATGCAAACTAGGTGACAAGCACCCAGAAATGAGTCCTGAAGGCCCTTACCAACAGGAGTTGCTGGAGAAGACTTTTGTCAAAAGAGGATGAGGGATGTCCTTAGGGACATCTGCTGGATGCAGGATGTGTAACGTGAGGGTGTTGGAACTGAAAATTCCACTGAAGGATCCTGCTAAGATCCAGTCAGCTCATTTCCTGGCCAGCATAGTTAGTAAAATGTTATTCATTGGCCTAAGCGATTTTCTGCACTGGGAGATATTAAAAATACTAAAACTAGAAATAAGTTTTTTAAGAAGAAATTTCTCCAAAAGATTGCTGAATTACTATTAATTTTTAAAGTATTTCTAATTACCAAAAAGAAAAACACAGAGGCCAAAAATTTTTCTGTTTGGATGATTAGCACTGGGGTGCCCCCCATCCAGGAAACAAATGCTGTTAGCCTTGAAATGGTCCTACAAAAGGGCCTCTCCCCTAGAAAGTGATTTACGTGTGTGCGCTTCTATTTTTGTGGTCTGGAATTAATTTCAGTTATTGAAAGCGTTGCCAAATGTGAAAAACAATTGTTTCTATTTATGTTTTCGCTGACTTTTTGCTGGCATCTCTTCCCTCTTAACAGCAGTTCCGTTCTCCACCTAGATTTGAGACTGAATTTGAGGAGATGTAGGGGAAAGTTTGCTTCAATGTTAGGCCATTTAAATGAAAAGCACTTTTGCCAAACATCTCAGCCTTTTTAAAACACACTTTAAAGATAAATGAATACTTAATTGAAAGCAAGTTATTAACAGCCAACTGAAAAGGCTTAATTTTTGCAACTCTTTCCAGATTTGGGTGTGCTGAGCTAGAGTTTTACTTTGTGATGTGGAACAGTTGGTTGGACTGAAGCCACTCTGGAAGCATCACTTTCATTTCCTTGATGCAAATCTGCTAGTCTGTTTCTCAAAGCTGTGCTTAGTTAATGATGAAATTTTAAAAAGCTTTTCCGTGAAAGAGTCAGGGTGAATTTTTGTGAAATGGTATGTGCCCTCTGAAGATAAGGAGTGCCTGTGTTGTGTGTGTTTCCCCGAGCAGCCGTGCTGTACGGGCTGGACACGCTGACCGTGGTGGGCATCGCCTTCGCGGCGTTCGTCATCGGAGCCCTGCTGACCGGAGCGCTCTGGTTCATCTACTCACGCACAGGTACGGCACAGGGTGGAGCTCACAGCCTGCTCTGAGCCCCTGCACGGGCAGGGAGGGCAAGGGAGACACCACTGCTTATCCTGGGATTGTTTATTGTCTTGCTCTTTCTTCTTACTCAGGAGTTTTCCAGCAGGTCCTCCCATTAACCTCTATTGCATATCAGATACCCGCCCTTCCCTAAAGGGACATGTTACGTGTTACGGTTTAAATTTTGCTTAAATAATTTTAAACACAAATCTTGAAAACTCATCTGAGACATAAGTAAAACTGAGTATTCCTGGCTTGTGTATTATCATTAGTAACATCTCTGTATTTCAAATGTAGTTAATACTTCAGTTAATGGATCCCTTTTGGTTCCCATACTACTTAAAAATATTTTTTGCAGTTACTACATTAGGCTGATGTGTACAAGAAGTGGGCCAAATGGTTAAGAGAATGCTTTATCTAAACAGACATATTCTGAGTATAAACTAGACTTGAAAATTTTTATTAGGCCTTAATTACATAGAATTTTTGTTACAATTATTTATTCCTTCATTCTTCAACTAGTATTTTCAATTGCTAGAAGTCACATGTAATCTTAATTGTGTCCAACCAAATACTTAGGAATGTCCAAATTGATGCAACCTCTGTGCACAGATAATTTTCCAGTATCTTCTTAGAATTTTTCCCATGCTAAACTAAATTAGCAAAAATGGAATACTGTACTGAAAGAAGAGAGCATTTGGGGAGCTTTCTGTTGCATGCCCCAGACAACTGATGGAGCCTTGATTTCCAGCATATGACCGTGGCTGTTTGTGGATTATGGGGTGTCTCAAGATCTTTAGAGTATTCTGGGCTTCCAACTACTTCCACTTTTGACCTTGCAAGGCTGTACCAAGATCTGGGAGGTGGGAAAAATGTGAGGTCAATTACTCCAAGCCTGTGCAGCTCTGGAGCACTGAAATTCACCTGTAGCCCTCTGCAGGGTTTCTTTTCTGACATCTAAAACTTAATGGAAGCTATTTAGGAGTGAGAATCTGGCCCTGTTGGGTCAGAACTTCTGTAAATATTGTGACTTAGGAGCTTATGGTAATTTGGAAATAAAAACTATGATGTTTTTTCCAGTTGGCAGTGCAGCAATTTTGTATAGGCAATTTAATACTTCTCAGTGCATCAGCTGTGTATGAAACTTGTTTGGAATTGAAGCAAACAGGGAAAATTTAAAGGTTGTGATAATATGTATAAATTGTATAATTCTCATATAAGTACTGAAACACTATGGAGGAAAGGTAAGGGCTCTTTCAGTGAGTAAATGGGAAGTTAAATAATTCTCATATCAGTAGCCTTTATTAACAAAAGTACCCTTGGCCCTGCATTTGTGGAAGTTCAATCTGTATTCACATACAGAGCCATCTATAGACACTCATTTTGTGTCAGTACTCAAGGAACACTGGGAAGCCAGCATGATAAATCCTTCAGCAACAGTAGAACTTGGACCAATCCCATTAAAAGAATTATATTAGCCAAGTACATCAGTCATGGTGACCACATACAAGTAGTAGAGAGGGCAGCTGCTCTGCCTTTGTGTTTGAGAGATGAAAATAAGTGGAGAAAAAGGCCAGACAAAAAGCAATAAATGAGTATAAGAAAGAAAGGGGACACTGTAACTCATCAGATTAGAGAATCACAGAAATTATAAAAATTATCTAGGAAGTTTTCTGGTTCAGATTTTCAAAGGATTGTGAAAGTGCACCTATGCTCCTGTGCACGTGATTTTTCTGTGCATAGTGCCTTGTATCTACAAAGAATAAGTTGTAGCAGAGTGCAGGGAAGGCTCTGGCAAGCACAGTCTCTTAGAGGACAACTGCTGTGGCAGACAAGATAATCCAACTGCAGTGGAAACATTTTAGAGCTTGTTGCAGTCCTTTGTTAACTTGAGGAGGGGAAGAAAGAAAGGGTAATCTAAATTTCATCTACAGAGTGGCTGTCATTTGCCATTAGAGGATTTATGCATTGCTGAATCGTTTTCTGAAATCTCATCTTTTGTTGTAAGTAGTACTGGGTTTCCAACACATGACTTAGATAAAAGGTTGGAAAATATGAGTTCATTCTAAAACTCTGTTTTGCTGATACTCAGAGCACAGATAAAAGCTACTGCTGGTAGAGAATGGCAGCTTGGGATGTGTGAAGGAAGTTATTTTTGTTGCTCTGTGCTAGTGCTAAGTGCAGTGCAGCAAAAGGCCACCTTTTTGCCAGTAGTAAGATTTGCTGATACACTTTTATCAGTGTGTCTGCTGCTAGCAAAGAAAGTGTTATGTGAATGAGCTCTTTTGTTCATCTTGATAGGCCATTAGCATTAAAACCTCAAGCAAGTGATAGCAGAAGGGAACTACAAAATAGGTAAAATTTCATCTCCAGATATTGAGCAAGGATTGCTGTGTTGTCGTGTAGGGCTTTTGCTAATTTCAGTCATGAAAAATTTCTGCCAAAGCATCACAGCCGTCCTTTAGAAAATTCTAAATTTTCTGAAACAATTCAACATGTAGTAGAGATGTCCTATCATACATGGGCAGGAAGAAGAGAAAGGGAAAGCTAATATCAGAACAACAGAGGAGAAATTTTAGCTGACTTGTCTGTAAAAAGACTCAATACTTTTGATCCTTTCTCTAGTCAGTTAAAGGGCATGAAAGGTGTTAGTGCTGCGTGGAGAAGACCCAAGAACTAAGAGAAATACCAGACATTTGCCACAATTAACCTCATTTATCTAGGGGTCTTGTAAAGAAGCAAAAGTTTTGCAGTGTGCATGAATGCAGAAACTCTTCATAATTTAACCATATAAATATGTATCGATGTAATACGTGTCTTAGTAGGGATCATTGAGTATGTTTAGGAGAGGCAGGCACAAGCCTGATTAGTTAATGAGACTGTTAAACCTTGCAAAGTGTGTTAAAGAAAACATCCGTCCCTGTGCTCTCTTAGGAAACGCGCTTCCCTTCTTCAGGCGGTGTTGCAAGTTAAGAGGATAAAGTGTTCCAAAATCGGAGAAGTTAAAAGCGTCCCTCCTCCCCCACTTCTCCCTTTTTTATGAGTTCTGATTTAAAGTAAACTGACATAGCAACCAATTATATTTGGCAAATGGAGATAGAAAAGCAAACATTCAGACTTCCTGGACAGGGAGTACAACTGGCAGCTTTCCTAAGTGTGAATAATAAAGTGCATGTTGTTGCGTTCAGATGGGTAAAAGCTTATTTACTGTCAATAGATGAGATGTGTCCATTCTGAGCAGTTTTGGTTCAGTAACATGAGATACATGAAGCTGTTTACATGAAAAAGACAGATGGAGAATGCCTCTTCAGTGATCGTTTACATTTCTTTACATCCCTTTCTTGAATACTCTTTTAAAAAAAGCTTTGCTATGGTTTAGCTAGGTGTTGAGGAAATAAAATACAGGAAAAATCAGCCGGTCCAGATGTAGTTGCTAGGCTGTGTGTTCATAACATTACTGTGATTTGGATTTTCTTTTTTCTTGAGAACATTGAGAATTTGTTATCGTTCAGGAAGTGATTGTGGTGCATCAGAGCTGCTGATGTGCTCTAGAAATGAGGTGCTGCAGAGGCCATTACAGTGGAAGGAAGGGGTCTTCCAACCCAAACAGAAGGGAGGGTACCTCCTAGGACGCTTTCCAGAGGAGCCAGGAGGGGAGTGTGAGCCATTGGGCTTGCTGGGGACTGCAGCACTGCGCTTTCGCTTTGCCATAAAATAAAAACAACATGTGTTTGGCTTATAAATGAATTTATGCTTAAATGCATACAGATTGTGCTGGTGTGCTGAAGCTGACCCAAGCTGTGTGTAAGCATGTGGTTTGTAAAATGGGTGACAGCAGAGCTGCAGGGAGAGGCGGGGGCCCCGCCGGGGGGAGCCCAGCGGCCGCGCTTCCTCTGCCGCCCGAGCGGCTTCTGCGGCAGGGCTGGGGTCTGCAGCCCCCTTGCTGCTGTTTGTGTTCACTTGTTTAGTTTAATGAAAGGGAGTTTGCTTATCGCTGCCTTTATAAATATATCCTGTAGTACAAAAGGAAGGAAGACATGTACACAAACAACGGGAGGAGAAGGGAGCGAGTCAGGAGGGGAAGAAACGTCCAAACAAGGCTTATGAAAGGCTGTACAGCACGATGACACATGCTTTGATTTGATACTGTTTATTCTGGGGAGTTATGAAGCCATTTCCAAAGCAAGTTAAAGCTGAAACTTGATTTATTTGCAGATGACTGGGGGTAGATTCTGACCTGCTGCCTATGAGCAGAAATCCACGGCTCATGGATGAGCTGCAGTAGTTATTTCTTACACTGGGAAAAACAGACTCAGAATCTACTCACAAGAGTAAAATGCTCGACTGAATGCTGAATTTAAAAACAAGATCTTCACCCTCTTTTTAAAAGTTCGTTTGGCCTCCTGGGCAGTGTGGTTCATTGGTTTAGTTTGTTGGGTTTTTTTCTGTCCTGTCCTGTCCCTTCTTTCCTCCTCATTCCTAAACCAGTGGGGTGTAAGGCAAGAGCTTTGTGTTGTGGGGCCTTAAGTGCACTTCAGCTGTGGCTTGAGCTAGCAACAAATCTGCTGGTCTCCATTACACAGAGCACTTGCAGCCTCTGCCGTGAGAAATCCTCAGACCTCCCTTGTTTGTTTGTTTGTAGCAGACCTCTGAGTACCGAGCAGCCTGCAGAAGGATATTTTGTGGCCTGAGACACAAAGTGTTAAAGGCGCGTTTCCTCTGCAGCCGCATTCCGAGAAGCTGGGCTCTGGCAGCTGGGCAGCAGCACACAGGGCATGGGGATGTGCCAGAGCAGCTCCTGTGGGAGGAAGCTGGCTCGTCCTTGCACTCTAAGCCTCTGCATGCAGGCTGTGCCTCCAGCCTGCCACTGAAGCAGCCACTGGGGAGTGGGATCTCGACCAAATCCTCAGCATGGAAGAAAAATTGGAGTGTACAGACCTGAGCCGTGGCATCAGGTTTTGAATGACATAGGATAATGTGGAGCAGGAGAGCTGTGTCACCATAAGCTCATGAGGCAGGAGATGTACTCGCTTCTGATTTTTCCTAATTGCTCTGCCCATGATCCCGCAAATCATTTCCGTCTTGCTCCTTCTCTGGGACAGCGGCCATGCTGGTGCTGGCTGCCACAGCAGGTCTGCAGCTCAGGCAGCAGCAGTGTGACTTACTGCTCTGAGATCACAGGTTCACATCCTGGAGATGAGCTCAAGGGAGGGGGCAGCTACAGTGCACATTATATAAACTTAAGTCTTGCCATCTGTTTTGAAGAGACTGTTTGGTGATATTGCCAAGGTTACAGACTTGAGCACTGTAACTTTAAAAATGCCACGGTTGTGGTTTCCTATGTGGCCTTATTATGGTCTTTTAGGAATTAAATGGCATAATTATTATTTTTGTGCTTAGTTGACAGCTGTATTTTTCTCTTCAATCCCAGCCACAGGTGCAGAATGGTGTGAGGAGACCCCAAGTGCTTGATTTGGCAACCTAAATAGTGAAGGGGTTTTAATTTATTGTCAGTAAATAGTTAACAAGAAATGGTGAGACATGTTCTCACTACAGGTTGTAACTTCTGCACATACTCTGGTAGCTATAGGAAAACTTCCTGCATGTTGTATTAGGAGTAAATCAAGTGGAGCTTTCAGGATACCCTGATGTTTTTCTATGTGTAGAAAACTGGCTGTGTCTCAGGATGTGTGGTATCCAGCTGATTGAAGAACACTGTCTTGAGCTACACTTGTAGTAAATATACTACTCTATAAACTGGCATTAAAACTAAACCCTACATTTCCTGGCCTTTTTCCTGGAAACAGCAAAGCTATAAAGTGTCTGAGTTGTGTAATAGGACCCAATTTGAGTGACAGCTGACAACAGAAGATAGACAGTGTTGATCTTGGCAGTTTCCATTAGCTGCTTGTAAAATGCTCAAGGAAACAGCGCTGTTATTTTCCCGATGTGCACAGCAATGCTTAGGTGCCAAAGTCTAGTAACATTTTCAGTGATGCACCAGTTAAAGTCTGTTATCCAATACATTAATTGCATGGGAAAACAGACCACCAGAAGAGGAAGACTGGGAAGAAATGGATTGTTGTTTTCTATGGCAACATTTTCAATTTCCCTTCTCCTGACCCCACTTTTTCCCTTCCCTTCCCTCAGGGGAAGCAGCGGGAAGACAGCAGGTCCCCACGTCGCCGCCAGGCTCGGAGAACAGCAGCGCAGCGCACAGCATCGGCAGCACACAGAGCACGCCCTGCTCCAGCAGCAGCGCCGCCTAACCCGGGACGCGGCTGGGGAGCAGCACAGCACTCGGGGACAGCGGACAGCAGCTTGTCGACGTTAAAAGGATCGGTTTGGTTGCTTCTGAAAAAATGAGAAGGGGTTTTTCTACGGGGAAAAAAAAAAAAAAAAAAAAGGACTGATTTTCTTTTGGGGAAGCCACTGTGTGTGTGAGTGTGTATATGAGCACACAATGTATGGGTGAACACAGCCTGTTGGATCTTGTTAGCATATTATGCTACATGTGACAAAGCTACTAATTTTACAGTACTGCAACCTGTTCTAGGGGTCTGTGGGCCCTCAATGTGAAATCTATGCCAGTTTGGAAAAATGCTGCTTTGTCTATATGATATTTTCCTTTCCCTGAACCTTCTCATTGACATTGAAGGTATTCATTAAGGGAATTCAGTCATAGAATCACAGAATGGTTTGGGTTGGAAGGGACCTTAAAGATCATCTCGTTCTAACCCTCTGCCATGGGCAGGGACGCCTTCCACTAGAACAGGTTGCTCAAGCGCCATGCAATGTGCCTTTGAATACTTCTAGAGATGGGATATCCACAACTTCTCTGGGCAACCTGTTCAGTGCCTCACCACCCTCACAGTAAAGAGTTTTTTTCTAATATATAATCTAAACCTGCCCTATTTCAGTTTAAAGCCATTACTCCTTGTCCTATCACTACATAAGATAAGCAGAACAAAGATGATCTTAGGTCAAAGGATTTCTGTTTGTCTGAGCAAGAAAGCATCAATGTCAGATCTCCTTGGTAAATAACATTTAATTATTCAGCTACGTTTAGCCTCTTTGAATAATCTTTGTTTTGTTCAGCTTACAGCTACAGCATCTCATTTGCTTTCTTGTTGTGTTTGCAGCTTCAGGTTTGTTCCAGGTATTTTTGTTGTAGTACTCATTGTGTTGGTAATTGGAAAAGAGCACACTCTAACATTCCCTCTCTTGTTTTATGGGCCAAAGCTCTTTTTAAGAGATTTTTTTGATCTGCTATACCAAATACAGGAACACATAAACATTAAGATAAAGAATGGTCTTGTGCACTAACTTAGATGGGTGTGTACCTTTAATGGCAGTTGCTTTGTGAAAATAAATATATATCAAGGTATACACAGCCTAACCACTTTACCAATTGGAAATTATCACAGCATTTCTTCCATACATAAACATATAATCCATAAATATATATATATATATATATCAAATTTAAAACTGTATTTTCAGTTTCTAATAGGTAGATAGAGGAGATGAAGAAATTGATTTGGTTATAATCTTTTAGCTAGCATAAATTCTCTTTGAAATAAGAGAAGAGTTTGAGGGCACAAGGAATGTACACTAGTGCCTGTTGTTTGCTCTTCCCTGAAAATAGTTGTGCAGTTGTTTGTGTCAAACTGTTGTATGAACGTTATGATTGGATAGTCCCAAAGTAATATGAGAATATGGAAATGACAGAAGGGTACTAATTGTCACTGTTTTTTAGTGTCATTGCCTTATCTTGACCTTCAAATTGATGCAAAATGAAAAGCAAAAAAAGACACTTTTAACCTGTAATTGTTTGACTGTTACTCGCCACTTTGTAATGTATTCTACTGATCCTTTGAGGAAGAAAGAGCATTGCTTTCCTTTAAAAATGAGATTAATAACTTTCCTTAGCTGTAGTGAAGGTTACCTGTGTTCTGCAAGAGAGGAAGGGACTTCATTACACTCGAGTGATAATCTGCTCTGAAGTCTGAGCTGCAGATTTCTTGCTGATTCTGCACTTGTGCCTTGCTGATGCCAGGATGGTCCAAGTGCAACACATGCAATAGATTTAAGTGCCCGGGATCAGGCAGAGTGTTACTCACTTTAAATCAAATCTGTTACCAGTTCTGCAAACACCGATGCAAATGGGTAACTGCACTCCTCGTCCTCTCTATGGGAAGCACACGCTCAGCTCTGTACACCAGGGCTGGTCTCTGTCCATGCAGGCAGGACAGCTTAGAGTTACACATGCAGAAATATTTGCTGTTAGCAGGCCATGAGCAGTGCTGGTGAGTGGACAGGTGTCAGGTAGGTGGAGTTACCCCTGTGCAGAGGGTGTGCAGGACTGGCTCTGCTCCGAGGTGTCGGGAGGATGAATGTGCTACCTGTGTGGTTGAAAAGAAAGCGCTTTGCCTAACCTTCAGCAGAATGTATTGTTAAAGCATATTCTATGTGTAAAGTCTTTAAAGATGTCTTCAAAGAAGACTAGAGTCTTTAACTTCAATCATAGCTATATTTTACTACATTAAATTTCTGTATAAAGATATATTTAAATGTTTTAGATAAATGTAAGTTACTCTATATGAAATGTTTAATTTCAATTACTGTGAAATTTACATATTTTGTAAATTCCTTTCCCCGTTTTAACCCTTTCCTTCCTCAGATATTTTATTAAGTAGTTTCTCATAGGAAGTATTAGATTTGGTTGTTGGGATGGACAGGTTGAAAAATTCTGTGTAAAATAGATAATTGTATATTTTTGAGAGAAAAATGCTGCATTTTCAATCTTTTTATCAAAAATTTAATCTAATTTTAGAATAATTTACAGATTTATATTTACCATTGGATGAACCAAAAATACAGAAAGGTCAAAGATTTGATTTGTTGACTTGTGTGTAAAATACTGTTTAAATTAACTGAACTCAGCTATTTAATTCAGCAATTTTAATAGACCTGAGTAAATTGTCTGTTGGAGTTTACCAAAATGGCACATGATTGCTTAGCAGATGGAAGAGCCATTTCTGCTTCAATAAAGAGAGAGAACCAAACCCAAGCATTCCCAGTGAATAACTTTATTACAGAAGTGTGTAGTACTTTGCAGCAGCTGTTCAGCTGCCCTCAGCTCAGAGCCTGCTACCCCTCTAGTCTGTGGTTTAACAGCAGCCATTTGTCTCCACTGCCAGTCTCAGTGTGTGGTGTGGCAGCTCCTGAATGTGAAACTGCTGAGGCACTGGTTCCCACCTCTGTGCCACGTGGTTTCACCGTGCTGGACTCAGGGCAGAGCCAGTGAGACTCTCCTGTCCTAGCAGAGGGTGTTAAAGCAGGGTTTGTGTGGATGGTGCTTAATTTCAGCATGATGGAGTCAACTGCGAAGAAACTTCTAGTGTAAGAATGGGAGGATTGGGCTTAAAATGGACACCTTCTACCTGTAAAAGCTATTAGCAACATACTTAAACTCCATAGTAGACTGTTTGTTCTGTCATGTGTCATCTAATCACTAACTAACCTTTTACAGTATTTGGTTTTGGACATTACTACATTTGTGTTTTGAGAGATCAGATTTTTCTGTGTTAGGCTATTTTTGTAGCATTGTCCACATGGAAATGGATTTTGCAAAATGTCTGTAGATGCTGATGATTGTAAGCTTTCCCCTGCTCTTTCCTAACCATTCCTCTCCTGTATGTTCATCCTATGTTATGTTGTGTATATCTACCTCATGCTTCACAAGAGGACTGTACTGTTGGTTGTGCTGGCAGCCCTTCGTGTGAGGTGCCTGTTGTGCCTGTTGTTGTTTGTCATTCATCGGGATGTTCGTAGCGTTATCAGATCTTTGCTGCCGTGTCCTGCCGGTTCCAAACACAATATCCTCACCTTTGAATAAAGAAGTAAATTTCTTTTAGATGCAAATGCCAGATTTTTTTTTTTTTAAATCAAAGAATGGGAGAAATTTACTTTTAAATACCTGTGGCCAGTCTGAACATCCCATTTGTATTTCATATTGCATTCAGTATTTCGGAGCCTTGTGGAAATGCACAGTTGTACAGTTTTGATAACCACAGTGTCATGTCATCTTCGTCTCTTGTGCATAATAAAGTATATATCAATTTATTAATAATTGATGTCATCATTCATTTAAATTGTACAGTCAATGACAATAGATCGAATTTTGTCTCACTGCTCTGTCCTCATGTCCTGTAAATTTCAGTAGGAATGGTATGCAGGATTTGATCTTGTGTATCCACTTCTGTTTTCTCTTTTCTGAGTTCTTTAATCCATTGGCTTTGTTTGACTACTCAGTATCATGGCTTCTTGCAGAAACCAGTAGATGTATTTAGTCAAATGCTGCTGTTTTTTGCTCAAAGTTGAAATCTAGAGCTCTGATCCTGTGGGCATTTAGTTGTTGCATGTCAAGACACAGCCTCAGTGGAATTCTGCACAGAGCCTGGCTTGAGCACATGAAGCCCATGGCTCTGCAGCAGCAGAGTGCTGGTGGGTTGTACCTGTGACTTCTGCTGCACTGGGGACTCTGTTTTCATCACTGAATAATCTTCCTGTGTAGGAGCAGATAGTTTGGCTGTGTATCAGCAGGACAAGAATTTGAGTGTTTACTGTCCTGCTTTCTAATTTGTTTCCTGTATTTCTTGTGCAGAATATTCTTTATGGGTTCTTGAGGGGAGCAGCCTCAGTGGTTTTTCCCTGGGTTATTCACACATTGTAGTTATTGACTAACAAAAGAGAGTTCCTTAGTAAGAAAATCTAAAATGTTAAATGATCACTTTAAAAACCAGTATTCTTTCAGTACAGAAAAAGCTGTTAATTAAAAGCAATTCTCAGCTTACATGCTGCCTATGACACAATTCACAGAGGTGCAATAGATTTATTGCTACATAACAACGATATTTCAGTTTCTGCAACAAGACAATTTTGTTTTCCTGTGGAAATGAGTTTCATAGGGTGAACTCTCAGCTGAAAGTTGCTGTAGCTGCTGTTCCCTTTTGCCTATAAAATTTATATTTTGATTGAAACATGGTGTGAAAGCATGATCAGTGTCTCACATGTGGAATTAATTTTAAAATGCAATTATTAGCCAATGAATTCTGATATATTTGCATGAGTATTTTTAGACATTAAAAGGTAAGAGTATTGCCACATTGCCCAGTAGGTATCAATGTTGGGCATATTTGTTCTCTCGGGTTTTGTGAGTGAAGTATATGTTTTGGACACTCAAAAAATACCAGGTGCCAGTTTCAGGAAAAACACAGTCCAGAGCTCTTCAAATTTAAACAGAATTAAATTTATCACAGCATTCCTTCCAAGACAATATAAAAGGAAAAGGAGACCATATTTTGATAAATTTTCACAGC